CACGCCCCACCCACCCCCCACACACGCCCTCCACCCTTCCTCCTTCAACCTGTCGTCCACACGAATGGCTCGAGGCGGTCCTGAATCGGCAGAGAATTGTTCAGCGTCTCCAGGCTCTCGAGGATGAGGTTGAGGGAGGCGTGGCAGCGGGAGAGGGCGTGGCTTATCTCGTTCACCTGGTTCAGCTTTTCTGCGTAACGGGCGAAGTTACGCTGCCTCTCCGTCACCTGCGTCACCAACCCGCTCACAGTGGAGTCCACCTGCAGGGAAAGAGGAAGTTTTTTGTGGAGTTAAATTGAAGCCAGGAGGGTTTGCTGTGGAGTTAAATTGAAGCCAGGAGGGTTTGTTGTGGAGTTAAATTGAAGCCAGTTTTTTTTTTTTTTTTTTGGAGTTAAATTGAAACCAGGAGTTTTTTTTTTTTTTTGTGGAGTTAAATTGACCAGGAGGGTAGTTAAACTGTAGCCAAAAGGGTTTGTTGTGGAGTAAATTTGAAGCCATCCACTTGTGAAAACGGTTATGGTGAGGATAAAAAATGAGTATAATTGCCGGTATATCTGGGGTAGTGGGATGGTTCATTGGGTATAATATAGGCCAGTTCCCAACTTTTTTTACGCCCGCACCCCTAAGAAAATTTTATTGTGTCCTCGCACCCCCTTTAGATTTATAGCTTATTTAACGATAAAGGAGGTGAATTTACACTAAATTTGATCAACAAAAGAAAATGTTCTTTTTCATTTTCTATTAACATGATTAGATTATTTGAATAAACCCTACAAAAAAATCACTACCTTGAAATCTCTATAAAAATCAAAGGTGAAGAGAATTTACAAAGACAAAAAAGAAAGGAAGAAAGAACGAAAAAGGAAAGAAAAATGGAAAGATAGAAAAAAGAAAGAAAGAAAGAAAACAGTAAGAAGGAAAGAAAGAAATAAGCAAAGAGAAAAAGAAAGAAAAGAGAAAAAGAAAAAAGAATAACAACAACAAAAAAACAGATACAGACACACCCTCACTCAAAGCTACCACCCGAACACCTCCCATCCGAGGAGGACGACCACGTACCTCCCTGATCTTGCCGGAGAGGAGGTCCTGGTGCTGGCTGGTGGCGGAGGCGGTGGCGTGGAGGTGTGCCTGGTAGCGACGGCACAGTGCCACCAGGGCAGCCGAGTCCAGGCGCTCCAGGACCTCGGGATCTCGTGCAGAAGGCGCTGTCAGGGCTCCGCGCATGATGGGGAGGAAGGTGGGGATCGACTGTGGGGAGAGAAAGAGAGAGAGATTTTCGATTTTGATTTTTGGTGATGCTGTGTCGGCTTTATTTAGTCATTTCTGGTGTGTCGTAATATTTATTTTCTCGGTAGCAGGGTCATGAATATATAGATTAATTGATGTAGAACAGAGTGGAGAAGAAAACCAATAGAATATTATAATTGCAATTAAAAATGCAAATACTATAGATACAATCAATGCTATAAGCATCAAAATCAACAATAATAAAACATATATATCAATTATCATCAACCATCATAAAATAATGACAATAACATCATTCTTCTCACGGCCATAACGAAGGACACCAGCGGGCTTCCCCCACATAGCCCTGTCCTCGTGTCCTCAAGCAACACCCTACTCTTGCCCGCCCACACCCACACACCCAACACCACATACATACATACACACACACACACACACACACATACAACACAGACCTGCAGCGCCGCCACGCACACATCACACACAGACCTCACCACACATGACATACACATGCAGCGCCGCCCACACACACACATACATACACCAGACCTGCAGCGCCCGCCCCACACACACATACATACACAGACCTGCAGCGCCGCACACACACATACATACAACAGACCATTACACAACCTGTAGATAACACACACCACACCAGCGCCGCCCACACACCCACACACATCACACCACCACACACAGACACATCCACACACACACACCGCCCCCCCCCCCACACACACACCCACCTGCAGCCGCGCCAGTTCCGGATCCAGGCCCTGCGTGTTTGCCGAAGCCTCCCTCACGACCACCACCTCCTGAGGGCGCTGAAGGTGCTGCTGCTGACGGCGACGAGAGCGACGGGGCGAGCCTCCCCCCGCCCTCAGGCCTCGCACGCCGCGGTTCGTGTGCTTCGGGGAGTCTGAAGGGGGGGAGGGAGACGAGGCGGTGAAGCGACGGGAGGAGGGAGACGAGACGGTGGAATTAAGGGGGTCGATATGGCGCCATTGGCCATAGGAAATTCGAAGACATATTAAGAACGAATTTAATTAAGAGAAAGATTTTTAAAAAAATCATCAATTCTCTTAAATAAGAGATAGAAGATGGAGAAAAGAAAAAAAGAAAATAATGAATATCAAAAGATAGAAAAAATAGTTATCTTGATTAAGAGAAAAAGATGAAGAAGAAAAGAAAAAAGAGAAAATAAAGACAGACAGAGAACCAGAAATACAACAAATTCGGTGATCTTTCTTAT